AACGTCTTCCCTCCGTCTCTTCTCTCCTCAGTATTTGCTCCACTACCTGCTGTCGGTGAAGTCGCTGGTGAACAGACACGCTTGGTCTCGAACCCCCGTGGCTGAGACTTCCTGGGCGTTGCTGAGAGACTGTTACCACGGAGCGATGTGCATCCGCCACACACCCCAACACGTCGCCATAGCAACCCTGTACCTGGCTCTGAACAGCTACGGAGTGGAGCTTCCTGTCGGAGAGAGAGAGTGGTGGCAGGTGTGTGTTCGTAGTTGCAGGACGATTCAAAGTGTGTGTTTGTGAGGTGAAGGATGTAGGTGGGTTTATTGAACTCAGTGGAAAATGGGACTTTTCATTTTGTGCAAAGTTGTGGCAAACATGTTGCCTGTTGACACATTCAACAGATATGGATCGTCTTCCAGTTGTCTCCGAACCCCTGATGAATCTAATTTTATTCTTCACTAGACAGTGCAAATAGTCAATGGACTGTCGGGTAAAGTGTAGAGGAGGAAAACTGTTCAACTAGTTAAACAGTTTTTTGTAGAGCATTAACATGTCGGTAACCTGTAATCCATAAAGCAAGTGGAATTTCAGTGGAAGATGAAGCAAAATGATGTATTTACACGAATATGTGAGCAGTGACAACAAGTAAAAATAATAGTTTGTCTCTAAAATTTATGAATAATTTTAATAAATAGTCGTGATTTCGATATTGACAAAAAAGCATCATGATCATGATTTTGGCCATAATCATCAGACCTAGTTGTGTGGAAATACAGAAAGATGATGCCGACCAAATCCAAATACAGCTCTACGTCTTGCAGTTGTTTCTACCACACAACTAATTAGTTTGACTGTTTAAATCAGCACCACAATGCTCTGTATCATTAGTGCAAAGCAGCTCTGAAAAACATAATTTCGGATGCCTTTATCAGCGCTACACTATAAAAGAGAGGTTATAAACGTCTTCTTTAGCTTTTTTACAGCAGTTTTTTATTTTTATTTTTGATGCTGCTGCTGCTCTCCCACGCAAAATCACCCCAATTACTCTACAATGAATAATTATTTCCAAATCAAGTTATTCAAGTCAGTTGGTGAAAATTCCTGTATTTTTTTTTTCTTTTATGCAGAAAAACCAAAACACAACATTTTCTGTTTTTTTTCCCAGTATCGTGCAGGCCTCATTTGAAGCCATCAAAACAACAGAAATGCCAGTTTGATCGGAAACTAAATTTTCAGTTGAATATTAACCACCAGAGACTCTTGAAGTCTGTACGTTTGCAGTGACAGCAGTTAAAAATGTCACACTGCAGTTCAGTTTAATTGTCAGCCGATTAAAGCCGTCGAAATGTCAGATGGATAAAATCAAATGAGCGCTCTGCTGAGGAGCTGGAGATGATTCAAGTGACAAGAGTGAGCGATGGAAGCAGATTAGGAGTCGCAGCGTGAACACATCCGAAATGAACGTTGGATTGTAAACAGCAAAACACGAGTGAGTGTTCGGTGGTAGTTGAAGGACGAGAGACGGACGAATCGCGCGCTGTAGGTAGTTGAAGTGTCAGTCTGAAGTAGTTGAGCTGTCGGCGTACAAATAATTGGAAGTGTCAGCTAAAGAGTAAAAGTGCTTTCAGAATAAACTGCGACATTCTCAGTTTTCATTTTATCGGTGGCAGCAGCAGCAGCAGCAGCAGCAGGGCTGAACTTATCGTGACATGATGGGCTGTATGTGGCGATGAGCAACCAGTGTGATAAATGTTGTTCACTGGCTGGAGAGTCGTACTTTTAGAAGCTCCGATACAGTTTCATCTCAACAATCCGTCTGCTCTCTGCTGTTGAAGTTAAAAAACAAGGTGCAGAGACATTTTTTATAATTTAACAGGGTTTGTTTTTTATTTTTCTAGAGAAAAAACTGCACGGCTCCCCCATAATTTTGTCCCCCCATAATACAGTCTCTGAATAAATCAATACGTATCATCACTGGGATCAGTGGGGTGGCTCGGTGGTTAGCATCGTTGCCTCGCAGCTAGAAGGTGGCTGGTTCACGTCAGATAATGGATGGAAAAAACAGCACAGCCCCCCGTCCCATAATACAGTCTCTGAATAAATCAATACACATCATATAAAATAAACTTTATTGATCCCTCACTGGGGAAATTCACATGTTACAGCAGCTGGATACAGATGAGACATAAAAGGAGGCCAAGAACTACATAAGTGCAATAAGGGTAAATATAAAGATATATTAAAGGTATAATAAAGACAATAAGACAATGTACAAGGCATAGTGAATTTACATATTGGTACAGATATTTGGCAGATATTTGATGAGATGTCTTAAAAAAAAGTATTTATTATATTGTCATTATTTATAGCACATTATTATAGACGTGTGATACCGCTGTCAGTTGATTGTGCTACTAATTCAGTCAGTTGTTGCTTTAGGAACATTCCATCTGATACATGGTGATCTGAACTTGCATAGAAAGGACTTCATCGGGTCTCTCAGAAGGCAGAGTGTCTCAGATTTCCTCTGTTTGTCGTCCTCCGACACCACAGACCAACAAGAAAGCTCAAACTTCGACAAAAGCATGAATTGACATTTGATACTAAAGAAATCATGAAAACTGTTGATTAGCATGAATGCTTCTGTTGTGGCTCTGTGGGTCATGGCGGCTTTGCAGTCTCCATCTCTTTCAGCTGTCAGACACGCACTTCTTTCCATTAATCTAACAGCAGTTGAACATGTCGGGTTCACGTCTGAATGCTCGTCCTGCTGACTTTTTGCGTAAAATGCACACCGGCAGTCTTACCAGATCGATGGAAACACACAAGCAACAGCATTTCGAGTTGTGTGAAGCGATTTAAGAAAAGTTTTCCCACATTTTAGCACCAATATTTGCCCACAAACATCACAGAGAGCACCGGAGTCACAGCTCTCTCACTCACTTTGCTCTACGATTTCAAATCTGCTCATCTGCAATCTGTGATGTCCATAAAAAATAAAAAAAAAACAGACACTAACAGCTTAAAGATGAATGATACTCACCAGTAATGAACGCAATGTTTTTCTCCCACAAGGTGTTAACAGCAGCTGAAGTTGCTTAAAGGAGTTTTTACTCTGAGTTTATTAAATACCTGCAGCATCAGGCAGCTTTCCAAGGACACTAATGATCCCTGAATCATTTTGAAGGTTTATTTTTGAGTCTGACTGAAAGGAAGCACGGAAATTTGCAGCTCGGAACAGACATCTTGCTAACTGCATTAGAGATCTCCATCTGGGACAACTTCTTGCTGTCTAACCTCGTTAATGGCATCTGCATGTGCTGGTTTGTTTGCATGTGTGAGGCCGTGCATCGCGTTGTGTGTTTAGTTTTCGTCCCTACAAGAAACAACAGCCACGTTAATGGAAAATACTGCAGGTTGAACGGAGGTTTTGCAGTCGGGCTAAAAACCAGAGCGACACAAAGAGTTTGAAGGGAGGAAAGGAAATCTGGAGTTGGCAGCTTTTGTTAACCGTTTGAACTCTGTTCTGCTCCCTGTGGGTTTGTTTTTCATTTCAAAATAAAGTCCTGCACCTCGATGAAAAACACAACAATGGCTAGAAGTAGAGCGATGTCAGAAATGTCTTTTGTGTAGCATGACACCATTTTTATGTCGTAAATCACAAAAAAATTAAAAGAAAGTTTGAATATTTATTTGACAAAAAATTGAAAAACATCATCAACATAGAATCAACATTTTTCCAAGTGCCACAGGTGTTTTCAACATTGGAAATAAAAATCGTGGCTGTACATACTACAGATATTTTACTACTCATTGCATTTCTAATTTGCTTCTATACGTGTCTCGTGTCTGTTCTGTGTAAACACATCTTGCAGTTCAGCCGAAAAGTCCCTCAATTTTTGTCGCATGACTGTTGGTCACATCTTAGTCAGCCAAGGTTTCTCAGTTTTGCAGAAGAGTGCAGAGTTTTTAGTATTTAACAGAATCTGTTCAGAGCAAACATTTTATTTTTGGCAAATTTTTCAACGAGACACTAAGTGATAATTTTACCGACGGTAGCGTACATCACGTGATAAGTCCAAGCAAATAGTTTATGCTCATTTTTTATATATTTTAAAGATAAAGATGTATATAGAATAAAGAGATTTTGTTTTGAAAAAAATCCTGATTTTAAGCTTAAATTTGGTTATTGTTTTTAATTGAATGGCATGTCACAGATGAGTAGTTCAAGGACCGTCAGAAACTTGAATATCTGATTGTTTTTTTTCCTGTTTTTACTGTTCCTGGCTCTGTAGTTTAAGCAACACGCCTTTTAAACCTGCTGACGGGTTGTGGGGTTCAGATGATTAGAGAAGCCACCTTAATGGAGAGTCTGTCCTTCTGTTGAGGTCCAGTTTGACATTTAATGAAACTGAGTTTATGTTCAGTTTTCTAATGGGTCCATAAGTGCACCATAAGGGCCAACAAACGGTATCAATGTGCACCAGCTTTTATTAAAGTGACACTGCCACCTCGATGCAGCCTTCAAAGGCAGAAATAGCTCTTCTTAGTATTAATTGAAGGGTGGCTGCAGTCATAGTTTTTCATTGTCAAACAATTCCATAAATGAGGTCTCTTTGGTTGCAGCTTTGATTTTACAAGTCACCGTGTCCAAATGCAAATGGAGAAAAGTCAGGATTTGTGACGGTTTTCTGCTTCAGTCCTCGAGGCGATAAAATGTAAGTGGTTTGAAATGTTGTGTGGACCTTTGATGTCCACTTTTTATTGAGGCCTGGCTGTGGAGCTGAAGTCTGCGCTGTGCTGTGTGTCTGTGCAGGTGCTGTGTGAGGACGTGACCAAAGCCGACATCGACGCCGTGATCTCAGACCTTCTGCAGCTCTACGACATGGAGGCCAAGTGCATCTGAAGGACACGACACCGGCACATGACGCTGTTTGAGCTGCGTTTGTGCGTCACGGACGTGATCGCATGTTATTCTGCGCAATCCGGTGTCAAGGTTCAGGTGCGTTTTCGTGAGGCAGGAGAACACTTTGCGTTGCCCCAGTTAGTCTGTGAGCTGTGACAGAAACACACCTGCAGTACTGATTCCTGCCGCCGCGGGGAGACATTTCTCGCCCCGTCTGGTCTCTGATCTCTCGGCGCTGCAGAATACTGATGTGCTCTGAAATACAGCATCAGCACCAGAAACATCCCAGCCTTCAGCAGCAGTGATCCATTCACCCTCCACATATCACACGCCTAAACTAAGAAGTACTAATGTGACGATTCGATGGGGAGATCCAAAATGAATCCTCCAGTTATTATCAAGAATTACAACGAATCCATAAAAATGCATGGAAATGGTGACCTCAGTTATTATTGAATGGCGTTGTTCTAACATATTTCTGCATTGGGATAATAGTAGACAGTCCTAAACATGTAGTTAAGCTTAAGTCTTATCAGAATCCAGAGCACCTCACTGCATACATCTGCATATTAACAAGGACAATTGGATTTTCCACACTGGATGCCATCATAGATTCTTCATTTTGAAGCGCAACTCATCCTGTATATTTTACTAAAATTGATATTTACATGTGAATGCATTAATTGGCTAACCGACCTCGTCAAATGCAGCGGTAATATGTCATGATTTGAGCAGGATATTTAGCAGCATAAATGCTACTACGTCGTTTTCCTTCTGTGTTTTTGCAGCGCTCCCATTTCCAGAGATACTTCCATGAATTAATTTGAAGGTAGTTATTTTATTTTGCTTTTATGAAGTGGATGAGAAATATGTGGGGGCCTCTTCTGCTGCTAAAATGACAATATAGTTTTAATGTGCGTGGTGAATTTTTTAAAATGAGACTGTCCTCCTCTGTTTCTGGGATTATTTCTGGTAATATTTCACATGTTCTCCCCCTAATTTAACCTCATAAAAAGACCAAAGCCAACTATGACTTGATAATATGTACTAAATAATATATTCTGTGTATTTAAACTGGATATATCTCAGTCCTTAGAGCCATAGAGCTCCAAAAACTATTAAATCCACATCAGAGAGTCTCAGTGTTGCATGACTATGAACACAAACACTGTCCTGCTGCCACAAAACTAATCAGATCATCAGGTTTATATTAAATAGTCCCCAACTAATTTACTATTTCATCCTGTTTGACTAACATCCTCTAAAAACTATAGCTGTTTGGAGCCTATCTAGCCTTTTTAAACTACTCGTATAGCACATATTTAAGATGTGTAAACTTGGTAGAAACCAGTGAATTTGGAGGTTCTAGGAGACGAACGAACTCACTGTTGGTCGGTACGGGAAAACAAAGTTAAAATCCAGACATCCCAAACCAGTGCATTGGCTGTAGAGGCACCATATAATAGTCAATGTGATGTTTTTAATATTGTCCACTGTGATCTTCTTTTGTGTCCCAAGTTGTGTTTGTGTAGTAGTTTTTATTTTCTTGTGTGTAACGGGAGGAGTGGTGTGAAAAAGATGGTTTATTTTTATATCTACAAGCCAAATGTACAGTTCAACTGCTGTGCCTCAGTTTTACTATAATTAAAAAAAATACATAAATCAACATTCACAATAAAAGGAAAGTCCAAGGACTGTGAAACACTGTCGGATTTCTGGTTCCTGAAAAGCTTCAGAAGAAGAATGACTCAATAATATTAGTTAAATGAAGGTTGCGGCTGTGATTGCAGAAAGAAATAGATGTAAAATCCCCTTTGCTGTTTTGTAAAGTCAATGTATAGACATTAATTGATTTTTAATTCATCCACACAACATAATTGTCTTGTGTATGAGTACAAACGCATAACAGAGGGAAGAGGACGGGTAGGTGGAGAAAAAAGGTGCCGAGGGAACGAGAGGAATGGTAAATGTGACACAAGCTAACAGGCTAAATACGCTAACGTAACTGGATCTCAACAATGTATCTCCAGAATCATAGACTCCACTTTTGATTTCTACAGAAACCCAGTTGATAAGATGTGAGGCTCTTTCATGAACTTCCTGGAAAATAATCCTGGTACTGGTGCCTTTAAATATAATAGACAAACTGCACAACACATTAGATTCCTAAAACGGGATTTTTGTTGTCGATAGTGGGCCTAAACCATTTTTCCCCCTATGAAACTAACAGTATATGTAAAAATTGTTTCCTTCTTGTTTGATCATGTAGACCATGAGCAAGTCTAGCTGACACAGCACTGTGCAGAATAGGGGTGAAAAAAAACCTCTGGCTTGTTTGAATTCTTTAAGCCAATCACATTCTTATTGGACGATGCTCAGCCCAGGATGCAGCAACAGTGTCCCCTAAAAATAATCACGGGGGATTTGTCGTTAAAATGGCTAATTCACAGCGGAAGAAAAAACTAGCAGCCCTGCTGTTTTGCACAATCCAAACCTTTTGCAAAACTAAGTTTTCAGTGTGGTAAGTTGCTGCTTGGAGGTGGTTGTTGATGTTGTTGTAGTGGAGGGGATTTTGAAAATAGCAAAAGGGGGAAATGCAAGGGCAATGGCAGGGTTATACTTGCAGTCTGATATCCCAGTACTCTTTAATACTGTAGAGAAACTGCACAAAATTGTCATTGTAGTTTTTGAAAAATGTTTATTTTCTCAATATTGTGGCCTTTGTTTTTTTTTGCTTATGAAGCTGCTAAATCTTTTGCAACATTTGAATGTCCAGTAGCAGACTAATACCCACAGTAGGTCACACTACCATGTTTGAGTCTGGGCAGCAAACTGCTCGGCTAGTTTTTTGTGGTGGATTATCCATTTTAACCACAGTGCTCATCTCCCTACTTGCAAATGTTCCACCGCAATAATTCAATAATCAATCCCTATTTTGAGGGGACACTGTTGCTGCATCCTGGGCCGAGCTTCGCCCAAGACTAATGTGATTGGTTTGAAGAAATATGAACAAGCCAGAGCTTCTTTTTAGAAAAAAAAACAAAACAAAACTTACAGCAGAACGATACTGTTGTGCAACCAGACTACTACATTCCACACTAGGATGGATGGATGGATAGATGCATAGATAGATAGATGGATAGATGGATGGATGGATGGATAAAATTATTGGGACGTCCTGTTAATAAGTAATTACAATAGTCCAGTCTTGAAGTTATGCCTGGTTTTTACAATATTACACAGGTAAAAGAAGGTCCTACAGATGTGCTTTTTGTGTGAGTCAAAGGACATACGCTGGCCAAAAATAACTCCATGCTTCCTAACAGTAGAACTGGAGGCCAAAGCAATGTCATATAGAGTAACTATCTGGTTAGAGATAGATAGATAGATAGATAGAGAGATGCTTTATTCATCCCCCTGTGTAAATTTCAGGTATCCAGTAGCTCACACATGTTAACAAGTCACACATACTAACAGCTAAGTAAGACTAATAAATAGTATAATGTAATGCACATTTTTTTAAAACCACGTTGCCGGTCTTTTCTTGAGATTTGTTGAAAATCAGAGAGCTATAGAATATCTTACACACACAGTTGTAAAACCTCAGCCATCATGCAGAAATGATTCTGACACGTCTGCCTGCTAAGACATAGTGAATACCATTAAAGTCGGCTTTAATTTCCTTCTCGTCACTGTACAAAGCTTCTCACACTTGGTATTTTTAGGCGATGAGCGTTTGGCTTACTTACCTTTTTTTTTTTTTTTTTTGCATTTATCTTGTAAAATCAGGTCTGCCTGTCTCGTGTGTGTGTGTGTGTCTGTTTGTGTATATGTGTGTGTGTTTGTCCAGGAGTCACAGTCACATGATCAATCCTGACACATCTGAGTCTCTGTTTCTGTCTTTCCTGCTGCTGCTGCTGCTGCTGCTGCTGCTGCTGCTGCTGCCTCCCTTCACGGGACAAGAGACATTGCGTGCATCCTAATAGCATCACGTGTCACACAATATTCCTCTTCCTGACACATTCTCTCCCTTCTCATCTGTCACTCGTCCAACTCCAGTTTTTTTTTGTTTTTTGTGTGTTTTTTTTTCCCCTCATGTCCCTTGTGTACCTACTAGGGGGAAAAAAATCTGGCTGCCTTTCTCTTCATTTGCTCCATTCCCTGACATCCTCTCTTCATCTCCATCTCTGTGTTTTTTTGCCGTCCATCTCACCCTAATTCCTTGACTTCCCTTTTTCTTTTTCACCGCCTGTCCTCGTCCCACATCTTCCGAGTCTCCTCCCTCCTCCCTCTGTCTCCCTAATGTTATATTAATAATGGAGAGGGTGCGTGTTCAGCCAGGCTCCATGAATTAACCATCAGATGGGAAAGGAGTCGGAGTAGTAGGGAAAAGGAGAATAACATAGAGGGGGCAAGGAGAGGGGAACTGAACGGAAAAGGGGGCGAGGAAGGGGAAAAATGGCAAGCGAAGGAGGGGAGCTTATCTTTTCTATCGCACTTCAACACTCTCCAGCTTGCTTCTGATCGCCTCTCCTCTCCTCTGTATGCTTCTGATCTGCTTACACATCACTTCAGCCTTTACTCGGGGCTTGAGGGGAAGTCAGAAGGTCACTTTTGCACACAAACACACACACACACACACACAACCAGCTGTGTGCATCTCCATGTGCACGTGTGTTTATATATCCAAATGACAGTTTGGGATGTTAATGTTACATCAGGCCTGCAGTCTCAGAGCTGAGTGTCCTTGAACTGATAAAAGCTCTGCAGCCTCAGACCTATTAGACATCAACCGAGCGCTCCTAAACACTCTAAATGCCTAATGCATAGACAATAGGTTTAAAAGGAGAAGTTTGTGTGTGTTTGTGTGTGTGTGTGCACGCTCTCAGCATCGAGGGGTGGAGCAAGAGGAGCAATCTGCATGATTCATTGTCTGTGTAAACAGCAAGATGATGAAAAGACGGATGGACCGGCAGGCAGACAAAGCCATCAAACCATCAGTCACGGGGCAATCGAGGTCTTCCAAGACGCACCGGGAGCAATAATACCGACGTCGGCCGTTAGAGTTGACGTTGGAAGCAATAAAAAACCCATGAAGATCGGTTCAGATCTCAAGCACACCGAACAAAATACATCATCGTAAAAATCTCATTGCTGTTTCTGAAGTTTCTGGGATGCTCAGCTGGTGACACATTGTAGACCATTTGGTTTATACAGATGTGGTCAGATGTGGTTTCGATAACCCTTAAAATTCGCCTTTATTAAAATGAAACGATGCCACAAGACAAAGACGAGAGCTGGATGTTAGACACTTGAATCTCTGTTTGTTATCTAACAAATCATTTCTGAAAGCCTGATGCAACAGTCTGCCAAACTAACAATGCAAATTCCAAAGTTTAGGCTTCAAAACTGTCGTCCACAAACCAATGAGTGACGTCCTGGTGTCTTCATCCATCTTTTATACTTAATAAAGTTCACCAAGAAAGGAGAGGCATAAGTCCTAACGATAAAATCTTATATCACCGTCCACAAAAACTCGATCAAAGAAAAAAAGAGAGGAAACCTTGGAGCTGCTGCTGTTGCTCCAGAACAACGTGTCCGTCCACACAGCATCAGGTGGCAGAAGCAGCCGAATGTGGCTTTGAACCGTTGCCCCGTGAACCTCACTCATCCGACCTGCACCGTCTGACTTCTGTCTGGTTCCCAAACTTGCCTGGTCGCCGTTTTCAGAGTGATGATGAGGTCATGCAAGCTGTTGAGCAGTAACCTTCTCACACAAAGGGATAGTGAAGCCTGAACATCGGTGGACCAGGTGCATTGAAGTTACAGGAGACCATGTTGGAAAAAAAGCAAAGAACAATATTTGATAAGTCTGTGCTGTTTTCTGGTGAGGCTGAGAATGCTCTTGTATACAGTCTGTGCTAACAACTCAGCTAATATGCTTCTTCTTGACTGTGTGGATCATTACAAAATTGTTTCTTTGGCACAGAATTTTGGAACCCACCACTAATTGGAAGACATTTCTGTGTGAATACATTTTCAGGGCCTTTAATTTCTCCAGAAAATGCTCATTTGTAACGACAATAGAGAGGAAAGATATGTCTGGCCATGCTAGAATCGCATTAACACGCTGGAGGCCTGTACTACACAGCAAGTTTGACGTTTTTGTTTTTAGCTGCCTTGACAAAACCCAAGTTAGAAATAATGGATATCACAATAGTGGTTATCAGCTTTCTTTGGTTGCTAGATTTCCTCATCAGGCTCTGAGCATGCTCTAAGAAAACAGGGTTTTTGATGCATCATTTGATTTAAAATGGCCCAATGGCATGCGTGGCAGCGAATCAGGACCAGGCGTATAAACAGATTTATGCATTTTGTGCTTCACGTATGTTCACATGGCAACATGACACATACAGTTTGTGTTGCTGTTACTGCACTGCTTCATTCTGCTGCGTTACTAATGTATAGTTTAACCCTATTCAGGACTTTTGGGGTCTTTTGGACCCCAGGCTACTTGGTTTAGGTGACAGGTATTGTTTTTTTTAAATTTTTAATGTTTTTTTTAATGTAAAAAGAGAGACATTTGTCATGTATTTGGAACCAAAACGTCTATAATGAATACCAACAAACATTTTGCACATATTCTTTCTTGGTGTCCAATGGACCCCGAAAGACCTTCTTCGTATGCCAACATGAAAGTCTTGAAT